GCCAAACAATTTATAGAAGTTTTACCTATGTATCTTCTTAGTTTTAAAGCAGGCACTTATTTTTATTTTCACTGTTAGTCTATCTTCAGCTATAACCAGTAGTGCTGCGGAAATATTTCATGACCAAGTATCTGCATTTAGCTTATCTCTAATTGACAAAATAAGCAATTACTATATTAAAAAGCCAGTTGTTGCCTATTTTTAAATTTAAAATGTTTTTAATTTAAATATTGGCATTGTGAAGGGCAAGGTCAAAGGATTTGAAAGCCAGGAAAGAGAAAGCAATCAACAATGGAGGGCATTTTTGCTGGTAATAAAGAACACTTGGCATGAAAGAGAGATGATAAATTATCAGCAAAATGCCATTATTTTTCTTCTTAGGTCACCATTGTGTGAGAGCCAGCTACAAAAATCAGGCATACATGAGATATGACTGTTCTCCAATCTACCTAGGTTTAAAAGAAAGAGTACTGATTTATTCCTTATTATTTATCTTTATAGACTATACATAAACTCCTACAGAGCAAAGTATTTTTTTTATGATTTATAACACACTGATGCTCAATAATAATAAAACTGTTGTCATCTATTGATACATATGTGGTATCCCCAGTTTATAAAAAAGTCATGTGAATCACTCGCTTTCTGAAGGTCATAGACCAAATTGTATTTTTTTTTTTTTTTTTTTTTGGTACATGCCCCTAGTAGGAACCGAACCCAGGACTCTGGTCCACAGGCCAATGCTCCAACCGCTGAGCCAAACCGATCAGGGCTTTTTTTTTTAATCCTCACCCAAAGACATTTTTGCATTCATCTTCAGATAGAGTGGGAGGAAGAGAGGGGGGAAGAGAGAGAGAGAAACATCGATGTGATAGAGACACATCGACTGGTTGCCACTCACATGACCCTGACCAGGGCCAGGGAAAAACTGCAACTGAGGTACATGCCCTTAGCGGGAACCGAACCCGGGTCTCTTTAGTCTGCCGATGCTCTAACCACTTAGCAAACCAGCCAGGGCCAGATTGTATTCTCTCTTTATTCTCTTTGCCCCTCCCTCCTCTGTCCTCAAATATTGAAAGTTAAAAATTGAGTTAATCGCCCTGGCCAGTTAGAGCATCGGCCCATGGACCAGAGAGTCCCGGGTTTGGTTCCCGTAAGGGCATGTACCTCAGTTGCAGTTTGTCCCCGGCCCCAGTTGGGGTTGTGTGGGTGGCGGCCACTCGATGTGTCTCTCTCACATCAATGTTTCTCTCTGTCCCTTCCTCCCTCTCTCTTCCTCCCTCTCTTGTTCTATCTAAGGATAAATGCAAAAATGTCCTCAGGTGAGGATAAAAAAAAAAAATTGAGTTAATCATAACTGTCACTATATTAACCATGTTGTTTTATGTGGTAAAATCAACAGCAGAATGTTATTTAAATTACCATGGTTGTCCAAATCTATAAATTGGGTTTTCTTTTTCATGAGCTAACAGTGGAAAATTCTGTTGTCTGTCAAAAATAGAAACATATTTTCCACACTCACATTTTTTATAGGGAAAATAATGTCCACAAGTAAAAATGTAAGCCCCTTGTCTGGCCAGTGTGGCTCAGTGGTTGAGCATTGACCCATGCACCAAGAGGTCGCTGGTTCAATTCACAGCACATGCCTAGGTTCTGGGCCAAATCCACAGTGGAGGGAATGCAGGAGGAGGCCAATCGATGTTCTCATCGATGTTTCTATTTCTCTCTCTCCCTCTCCCTCCCTCTCTAAAATCAATCAATCAATCAATCAATAAATAAAATGTAAGCCCCTTGAAGGCAGGGACTTTGTCTTATTTTCTATTGTTTCCCTAGCACCTACCTGTACCTGGTACATTGGAGCTCAATAAATCTTTTTTTTTTTTTTTTTTTTTAATATTGTCTCTTTTTTTTTCTTTATTGATTTTAGAAAAGAGGGAGAGGGAGAGAGAGAGAGAGAGATGGAAACATCAATGAGAGAGAACATTGATTGGTCATCTCCTGCATGCCCCCCAATGGGGATTGGGCCCACAACTTGGACATGTGCCCTGACCAGGAATCGAGCCAGCAACCTCTTGGTGCATGGGTCAGGGTTCAACCAGTAGCCACACTGGCTGGGCGGAGCTCAATAAATCTGTTGAATGGTCTTTTTCCCTCTTCTGTAAAGTAGAATCAAGTCAGAATAGTCTTTTTACTTGTTTTTTGTTGTTGTTGTTGTTTGTTTGTTTTTACTAATTCTTGGTATGAATGCTATTTCATTAGCTTTCTCTTACATGAACATCATAATTGGAGGTAGGTAACACACACGGTACACTTTGTTCTTTGAAATTATGATTCACTATCTGTAATTGTGAGACAAACTTATTGAGAAATATTTACTACCTAGAAAAGGATGAAGGGAGCAGTTACTGACAAGCAGCCGAAGACTAGTTAGACCACATGCTCATCAAGTCATCAAATAACTGACTTTAAATTACCGTTTTTTAAATTCAAGAATATGGAGGGCCTCTTAGCCCTCATCTGAAGGCTTTGAATGGATAAATTGTGGGGGATTAGCACTGTGACTACCATAGCAGGGAAACCAATCACTTTTCCTAGTCATGCTTAGTTTCCATACTATAATCTTGTTAAATTTCAAAAATTTCGCCCTGGCCAATTTTGCTCAGTGGTTAGAGCCTTAGTCCCAAGAAGTCAGTTTCAATTCCTGGGTCAGGGTCATGCGGGAGGCAACCAATGTGTCTCTCACATCAATGTTTCTCTCTCCCTCCCTCCCTCCCTCCCTCCCTCTCTTCCACTCCATCTAAAAAATAAAAATAAATAAAAAAATCAATGGAAAAATATCCTTGAGGATTAACCCCCCCCAAATTTTTTTTTCAAAAGTCTTTTTCATTGAAAATAAAATCTATTTTTTGTTTTTATAGCTATATAACCATTTAACATACTGATTTGAGGGGGATATTCCCTTCAGTAATAGATTACCTCGAAATACAATTTATTGTAGTTAGCAAATATAAAATGGCACATAAATATCCATCATCAATGTAAGTACATATTGAAGTAAACTAATTAATATAATAATCATATCTAACAAATCAGGGGATAAAATTAATTTTGAATTGAGAGGTAACTAAAACTAACAGCAAGTCTATAGTTTAACATTAGAGTAAGTTCTATCTACACTACAAATAATCCAGATTGCTTATCAAATATAAAATTAACTTGAACATCTTACCCTTGTCTGTTGCTGCAATAATCAGCTTTTTACTTGAAATTAGAATGGAATATAGAAAGGCAAATTTTAATTTTTTTCTTGTAATTTTAATTTAAAACTTTTTATGATTAAATTTATTGGAGTGATGTTAATAGGATCATATGGGTTTCAGGTATAGATTTCCATGATACAATCACTGTATATTGCACTGTGTACCAACTAGTCAAATCTTCCATCACCATATATTAGTCTCCCTTTACCGCCCCCTTAAATTTTTTCAGTTACAGTTTACATCCAATATTATTTTGTTAGTTTCAGATGTACAGCATAATTTTTGTTTTTCACCCACTTAACATGATATACAGGGAATATTAGAATTGGAAACTAATTTTTTTTTTAATCTTAAGATTTCGAATAACAGCTTCAAAGGTCTGTTTGGTTTTTAAGATTCAAGCTCTCAATAGGATATTAGACCTTTATACAGCCATGGTTTTATTAAGTTAGACTAAGTACTTGATTTTTTCACTGGTTCTTTCCCCTCACATGGTAGATAAGGCATGCCTGATATGGCCTCTGCCTGTCTCCCTAGCTATTTACCCATGATCTCCCTTTTTGAGGTCATGCCTCTTTCATTTTCACCTTGTGCTAGGTTCCCTCTCAACTCAGGACCTTTGCTGAAGGATTCACTCCCCTTTCCAGCACTTGCCCCCCCAATCCTGCCTAGACACAAAAACACTAACTCCTCATCCTATGATCAGCTGTGGCTCAAAAAAATACCATCTGTGGGGAAATTTTCTTGACTCTGCTAAGTCAGTTGAGTTTTTATTTTTTAATTCAATTTATTAGGGTGATATTGGTTAATAAAATTATATAGGTTTCAGGTATACAATTCTATAATACATCATCTATATATTGTATATTCACCACCCCAGCAAGTCTCCTTCCATCACCGTTGATCCCCCAGCTCAGATCTTGATTTGACACTCTTGGCAACCTATATTTCATGACAACAAAATTTATAACAGTTGTTTAATGTGTTTCTCCCATAGATGCAAGCTCCAAGATATCAGGAAATTTGCTTATTATCCCTAGTACACAATAGGCTAAAAAAAATGAATTAGTCCCAAGGCAAAATTATTGTCTCGTAATTATTAACCGTGCTAACTACATCATACAATTCTATCTATTCTTTGGAGCATTTAACTGTTCTCTGACTTTATAGTATATTAGTATTTGATTTTAAACACTTGCTTTTGCATATACAGGCTTTTTAAAAATATTAAAATTGAGCAGTAAAGAAGTGTTGACAATACCACAATTTACAGATTTTAATTTTAATGTAAATAATATAAAATACATATAATAAAAAAATGCAATATGGTATATACGGTATTAGAAAGTAAAATCCTCCTTCACACCCTCCAATCTTCCAGTGTCACAACTATAAATATGTTTCTTTAAAATATTGAACTTTAATATTCTAACAAGTCACAAGGCTTTGTTTCTTCTCTAATGGTTTGTTTTAGTGTAGATACATTAAAATATCAAGCCTCACTACTGTTATACAATTGAAACTCTTAATTTTATAATAAAATAGTTAACACTGGATTTCAAAAAGCCCGTTTTGTTTTTTTGTTGTTGTTTTTTGGTACATGCCCCTAGCGGGAACTGAACCCAGGACTCTCTGGTCCGCGGGCCAACACTCTAACCGCTGAGCCAAACCAGCCAGGGCCACATTTAATATTTATTCTTCTTCATTAATAGCTCAGACAGACACATCCAACCCTACTGATCACCAAAATTTTATAGTCTTATCTTGCAAGTGTAGTATATATATAATGAAACAGTTGGTAAACATATAAATATTGAGCAAAAACAAGGCCCACAAAGTACTGCTGTGCAATGTATCTACCAACAGGTTGATTAGGCCAGTTGTTATATTTGACAGCAAGAAAAAAATCAACTGGTTTCTGTTTATAGCTGTGATTAAACAATGACTGGGTTTCTTTCTTTCAGCTTCAGAGATTAGAGATTCTGAATGCTTTTTATTTGTAGCAGGAGACTGGATAAGTTTCCAAGAACATGGTACTAGAGCCCCTTTAATTAGAAATTTGGCAAAACTCAAAATTACATCACCCAGTAATAAACTACTAAGAAGTACCAGGCAGGAAGCAACTACCCAAATACAAAAGGCTAAATTGGCCATTCTTCGAGATGCTACTTCTACATTTACCTGAACTATGTAAAGAGATACAAAGAGGCTAATAGCTGTCAGTAGAATACAATATGCTACTTTTATCCAGTCTTTGATATGTGATCTTTTTTTAAGTACATATGACCCTGTTTGCACACCAGCCATGTATATTGCCACATACCCCAAGGTGGATATTATTCCTTCACGGTTGGCATTTAATAAACCGACCCTAGTGCCACTGCCATCAGTGCCATACAAAATTAACCTTTTCAATGGGGTGAAGTCAAGGGCCAGCTGGTATACTACAGTAATGCTGACAGCCACAATCCAGGATTTACTTGGGGGAAAAAACAGCAAAAGCAGTGATGTTATCAATTTTACAACTATTAAGGTAAAGAAAAAGTTCCAGTGAACTCCATACTCAGTTAAATGTTCCTGATAGCCTATGGATTTTATAATGATTAATCGTCCTGTTCCTAGGAAGACTAATGGCCAAACAGAGTACAATGACTTTGTAAAATAATCCAATCTGGACCCTTCCGTATATTTTCTCCTAATCTCTGGACAAACCATTGCAGTGCCAAAAACAAAGCCTCCTACTCCAAAATCCATTGCTCCTGTCCCATAGAGTTCAGTTTTGGCCAATCTTCTGGGGAAAAGTGGGAAGTCCACAGCCAAAATGGCAACAGCAGTAAATGTGCTGTTAATTACACGGAAACAGGAGATGGCTGGAATGTATTCGGATTCTATACTAATTTTTAAGAATTTTTCAAGGATTTTCTGGATGGGCATTCTGGCATAGCAAGTTCTCCGGCAGTATATTTGAAAGAATAGTCCTGCCCCAAAGATAACTAGAGCAAGGTACTCATGGTAGACAAATGAAGACAAAATGGTCAAAGTGGTCACCAGGGGAACTATTAGGAAAACGAAGTCAATGAAGAATCGAGTTCTCCAGGTATGTGAAAAAGAACACAACTGCTGTGAGAGAATGATCAGGAGCCCTCTGCACAGTATACAGAGTACAGGCAAGCACAAGCCCTGGGTAATTTCCAGCACGCTGGTTCCATTGTGGTTACTGACAAAAGCTTCCTTCATCTGCTTTTGAGACATTTTTTTCTTCCTGTGAAAACAAGAGCAAAGGAATGCATTTGTGGAAAAGGTATATATGTACCTGACTTGCTTTCATTCTTGTTATTAAGTTTCACAGCAGAACCTAGGACTAGTGACTCCCCTACCAAGGATTGTAGGAAGAAGCCTAACAATACATTAGGATAAGAATGTCACACTAATAGCATGAAATTATTGGTTAAAAAGCTCTAGCTATTTTCAGTATAAGGCAGACTCAAAAAGAAAGTACATTTGGGATATAAACCCTGAGAATGGAATCAATTGGATAGAAATTCCTATTACAGAACATAGTATATATCATGAAGATTATGTGATGAAAATTGAATACACAGAACTAATGATCTTTAAGTCAAATCTGAGAGAGGGGGAAGAGGAACAGGGGCAGAGAAGGTATTCAGCACAGGATGGAGTTGGGGACCTTGGTTTCTGTTCGGAGTCTCTCTAAAACTATTGCCTCTAGTACACAAATTTGAGTCCTCCAGAGCCTCCTGAGCCCCAGATTGCTCCTTACATTTACAGAGAATCAAATTTCAGGTTAGGTATAAGTAAGTAGAATGGATACTAATGTGGGACGGGGGACACAGCACATACTAATGCTTTTTTAAAAGGATATAAAACGTCTTTCTGCCACATATCGGTGTCTGAAAAGTGGCACACACGAAGAACACGTTTGTTGGCCAAACAAGAACGATGTTGAATAAATGAATGCATGAGGCCGAGCAACAGGACTGCGCGGTAACAAACCGATTGGCTAGCCTTTGAAAATAAGAGTCCTCTTCCACCACCGCGTCAGGCCCTTATACCTCCCGTGCTCCGGTTGGTCTCGGAGTCCCCCCGGCAGAGGGCCGTCTACGTCGGTCGGGCTGCCGGGTTTCCACCGTACCCGCGGGACAACGCGGGAGCTAGACAGCTTCCGCCTCGGAGCCGCGCTTCCGGCCAACGGGGGGCGTCCTGCGCTTCCGGGCTGGCGGGTTCCGCGCGCACCCAGCCCAGCGTGGTGCCGGTTTCCCACGCCACCTCCCTCACGGGGTTGCCCAGCCCAGGTCCTCCCGGGTCTGGCCGTGGGCCGGTACGTCAGAGGGGCCCGGAGCGGAAAAGGCGTGTCATACTCCACACCGCTGCTCAGACCCCACGCGGAGCCTGTCAGAGTGATGGGGTCAGAGGGCCCCGCGCAGCATTCGGCCATGGCGTCCCCTGCGGAGACTCCAAACCCAGTGAGGGCCCGGAGACCCAGGAGACCCTGCCTCCCACGCCTCTCCCGCGGGAACACCCGAGGCCTCCCTTTCACCCCCTCTTACCCTAGACTCTCAGAATAGTTTGTCCCAGGTCCAGCCTGCAACTCCGGATCCCCGCTTCCCGAGCGGGCCACGTGCGCCCAGCGCCGCGAGTGCGCGCCCCGCCCTGGGGGAGGAGCCGGCGGCCCGGGCCACTAAGCCAGAGCGGCTGCGGCGGGGTGCGAGCCCGCAGTCGGCTTTCTCTCCCGGCTTCGCTCCCGCCCCTCCTCTTCCCTCTGCTCCCCCGGCTCTTCCCTCCGCCCCACCCGGCCCGCCCGCTTTTCCTGTCGGGCTCGGCGGGGGCCGCACGCTCGGCGGCTCAGGCTGTGGGATCGGTGAGTGCCACCCCCATCCCTGATCTGAAGCCCTTCAGTGACCCCGAAGGGGCAGGGGGCGGGTTTGCCCCCGGAGCGCTGAGGAAGAAGGGGGCATCTCCCCTTTCCAAAGCGCCTTTTCTCTGCCCATTCCCTTTTCTTTTTGACCCTCTATATCCCAGGAGGGCCAGGAGCTTTCATGACCAAGGACCTTTCATGGTCACGCTCCACCTCTCCACTTTGCCGGCAGCCGGAGACCGGCGGGGGGAAGGTCCCGGTTGGCAGGCTGGGTCCCCTCCCCTGCTCCTCTCCTGGTCCTGCGTAGGGACCGGGGAGGGGGGCGGCTGGCCCCGGGAGGCGTCAGGGCAGCCGCGTCCTTGGCTGGGGTCACATCCACCTTCCCGGGAAGGACATATTCTCCCCGTGACAGGTGCTGAAGGAGCGGCATCCCAGCCCTGGGCCCAGCGGGCACTTCGCCAGGACCGGGAGCCCCGGGTTCCCGCCGGGAACCTCAGGGCGGGGCCGGGCTAGGCTACCAGGACCCTTACTCCGCTCTTCCATTCCGCCCTCCAACTGTCCCCCGAGCCTGACGCTGGGGAGAAGGAGGAGCTGGCAATCAGGTTGCCGCTTGCCTTGCTTTGCCTTAGTGTTTCTTCTATTCATTACCGGCTCCCTCCTGCCCACAGTGGTCACACCCTTTCCAGAACTTCTTGGCTGGTAACCGCGAAGCCGATTAGGAGCAAGAGCGGGAAGAACTGGAGAAAACCACTCTAACCTGACTTGACTCTGGCTGAGAGCTGACACAGCACGTAACCCACATTTGCGAAGAGCTCTCGCAGGTCCTACTAGCCCATTTGATCCTGAACTCTGCGCTGTGAGGTCTGAGTATTAGTATTCCTTTTTGCAAACTACAGGGGTTTGGGGTGGGGCTGCAAATCTTCTGGGCCAGTGTGATGTGGAGGATGAAGACACTGGGAGAAAGAGAAGCCTCCTGCTCTATCCTCTCCACTACACAGAAATATCCTATTGTAGTATAGCCGGTAGTTGTGGGGTAGGAGGCTGAAGTCAACTAGATGCTCCAGGAAGAGAAATGTGGGAGAGAAATCACAGCTGTCATTCACTGGTAAGTCACATCACCTTCCTGGTCCACTTGGAATCCTCCTCTTGCAAATGGAGATAGTAAAATCTACCTCACAAGGAGTGGTTGTGAAGGTTGCAAATGAGAAAATAAAACAGAGAGCTCTGGTGATCTGCATCGGAGGGGACGTGGGCTTTGGAGTCTAACCCCACAACTTCTTGTGCTCTGCCTCTAGTCCTCTCTAAGGTGAGCTTCCAGTTAAGGGAGTTTTGTTCTTGAGTTCCTGGAGCCCTCTGCAGAGCTGTCCCTTGGATGGGATGCAGTGTTCAGGATGAATGTGTCCAACATGTTCTGATGTCCTTCTTTGCCTGAATTGTTCATTTTCCAGTTTCCATGGAAGTTCCTATTCCTGAGTTCATTCAAAGGCTAAGATGTATTCAGAGCCTTGAGAAAGTCTCCATCAAAGTTAATCCATTACAGACACCCCTCATCTTTATCTTGCTTTGCTGGGGCAGTGTGCAACCTGGGAAATTCTGAATCTGAAGGTTACTTACAGCTTTTCAGAGATTGGCTTAGGCCCAGCCTCTCAACGCCCCCTCTCTCATAAGAATTCCTCTGAAATTCTCATCTTCTTAAAGTTGACACTGGAGTGTTCCACTTGATTAGTGCCCTAAAATATTGTTAATTATACTAACAATGTTCCCCCCCTGAGTGAATATTTAGATTTGTACTTTGGGGGGTGCTTTTAATCCATGACCTCATTGACCTTCACAACCACTCCTTGTGAGGTAGGTTTTACTATCTCCATTTGCAAGATGAGGATTCCAAGGGGGCCAGGAAGGTGATATGACTTACCAGTGAATGACAGCTGTGATTTCTCTTTCACATTTCTCTTCCTGGAGCATCTAGTCGACTTCAGCCTCCTACTCCACAACTACCGGCTATACTACCCTGGGATATTTCTGCCTAGAGGAGAGAATAAAGCAGAAGGCTTCTCTTTCTCCCAGTGTCTTCATCCTCCACATCACACTGACCCAGAAGATTTGCAGCCCCACCCCAAACCTCTTTAATAAAACTAGCCCTGAGGAGCCCAGGGAGCCTCCAGAAGCTCTTGTAAAAGTTTCCCCTGTTCCCTAATTGACAGGGAACAGAAAAGACTCCCTCTCTGCCCAGGCTCACTCTGGTTCTCACTTTGGTTCCTCTGCTTAATTTGAGGAGCAGTGGTGAATCACCCTGAAGAAACCTTCACCTGTGTGTGGCCCTTGTCTTCTCTCTCGTGCCATAGGCTCTGGAGTGACTCATCTCAGATTCCTCCAGGACTGAGCCCTTTTCTGGACCCATGCCCCAACCTGTGTCCTCATGACTGGGTGGATAGCACTCCTTGTGCCTGCAACCCAGAACCCTGGCTGACCACACTGAAGCAGGATGCTCCAGCAGGTAAAACCTCACCCTAAGACAACCCAGGGCTCAAAGCACCCTGAAGCACCTTCACATCTTTTGCTTGTCTCAATGCAGCTTCAGTACCCTACGTGGAAGGAAGGAACAGACCCCCCTTTAAAGGTCTTCTTTTCTCTCTTTAGGTAGTTATTCCAATGCCTTTCATCTGTTGTTAAAAGTTTTTCCTGGCCGGTTTGGCTCAGCAGTTAGAGCGTTGGCCTGTGGACCAGAGTCCTGGATTCAGTTCCCGCTAAGGGCACGTACCTCCTTTGCAGTTTGTCCCCGGCCCCAGTTGGGGTCGTGTGGGTGGCAACCACTTGATGTGTCTCTCTCACATCAATGTTTCTCTCTCTCTCTTTCTCCGTCTCTTCCTTTAGCTCTATCTCAAGATAAATGCAAAAAAAAAATTCTTCCTAATACCTAATTTGCATCTCTCCTGTTGTAGTTTATAGCTCTTTTCCCTGGGGTGGATAAGGGAATCCTAAGGGCACTTTGGTGACCTTACAAGCCTGAACCAGTGAGGAAGTCCTGGGAGATGTCATTGCCAGCCTGAATTGTTGAGGCACAATAGAAGCCTGGGGCTTCCAAAAGGAGGTGAAGCTGAGATATCCCTGGAGATATCTCCTTGAAGCTGAGCCTTAAAGAATAAGTAGGAGTCCTGGCATGTGTAGCTCAAGTCCTGTGCACTAGAAGGTCATTGGTTCAATTTCCGGTCAGGACACTTACCTAGGTTGTGGGTTCAATCCCTGTACAGGAGGCAACTGATTGATCTCTCTCTCTCTCACGTCGATGTTTCTCTCTCTCCCCCCTTCTCTTCCACTCTATCTAAAAAATCAGTGAAAAAATATCCTCAGATGAGGATTAACAACTACCAAAAATTAGGAGTTAGCCAGGAAAATAAGCAGTCCAGACAAAAAATTTGGTCTGAAAAAATGTGGGAGAGATGACCTATGTGGATATGTAGAAGGATTCTGATAAATGGATCACAGGTTGCATGGGGGGTTGTTATTGGGACATGAAACCTACCCTTACTCCAGATCTCTGTCACTCAGAAAAGGCTACTGTGGCCCAGGCCTGCAGGAATCCAAATCACCCTTCGCTGTGAAGCCTCATCTTATATCCATGTCATTCTTCACATGCAGCTCTTGTCCAGAGAGAATGCCAGTAGATAATTGCTGAATTTTTATTTACTAAGCATTGCCAGGCACTGGGCTGAGGAAGATGTTTAATATGGTACCTGCCCTCAAGGACTTCGTGGTCTAATGGAGTCCTAGGCAGGGAAGTGCCTGAAACCCAGCCGGATAACTGAGTGTGAGGTCGCCAGCCTCAAGGGAGCCATGGTAGACACTGACTCTTGACCTTCCTGAAGCCTTTTGGGTCATGAAATAGGCTTCAGGGCTGGAGAGAAGCAGACATGACAGTTGTCTGCTCTGAACTTTTTATGGTTTGTAATGTTCATCATAACCATTGTAGCAGCCACTCTGCATTGAGTCCTTGCTATGTAGTAGGCACTATGATAAGCATTTTACACATATAATTTTGTTTAGTTCTGGAGAAAGACAGTATTATATACACAGTGCTGTTATGTCCCCATTTGGGGTATAAGGCCAGAGATGTTAAGTTACTTATTCAAGGTCACATTCATTATAAGCAATGTGGAAAATATAGACAAGCAAAGAAAACATTAATATAACCCATAATTATACAACCCAGAGATAACTAACATTTTAGAGACTCTCCTAGATTTTTTTCACATAAATATTTTTAAAACATTTAAAGATATACTCTTTTTGTAGTCTTTATTCCATTGTAAGAATGAACTATAGTTTAAGCTATCTACGACTTGGAAATGTGGGTTGTTTTCAATTATAAGTGACTCATGTACACCAAACATTCTTATAGTCTTTTATATAGGATCATTTTCTAGAAACAGAATTGCAGGCTCAAGGGACATATTTAGTTTTATTTATTTGTTTATTTATTTTTTTATTTTTCTTTATTTAAAAAAAATTTTTTTTCCTTTATTGATTTTAGAGAGGAAGTAAGAGGGAGAGAGAGAGATAGAAACATCAATGAGAGAGGACATCAATTGGCTGCCTCCTGCAGCCCTCCCCTCACCCCCCCCCCCCCCCCCCCCAGGGATTGGGCCCACAACCTGAGCATGTGCCATGACTGGGAATTGGACCAGCAACCTCTTGGTGCATGGGTGAATGCTCAACCATTGAGCCACACTGGCTGGGCTCTT